AATTTGAGAAGACCAAAACCCTCAATTATTACAAATTTTTGTTAATTGTCCTTCACTTTTCCCAAGATTTTTATTCTGAAACAGAGGGAAGGAAACTCTGTAAACTTTGAATCCCAACTCTTCTTGATCACTCTTAGTGACGACCAGCACTTGATTTTCCTCCTTGGACACTTTTTCACTATCGCTTTATGTTGTCTCATGCTCTGGTTATTACTGAAGGTTTGAGTGTCTAGAATTATCTTCTCTTTCCTTTCAACATTCTCCCCTTGGATCACCCCATAGAGTTCCATGAGTCTAAGCACCATCTATATACTGATATATCCCAAAATTTTAGCCCTGACTCCTTCCTTAGACTCCAGATTTCTTCTGTCTCTGCCTAGACATACCACTCATCTCAATCTTAGCATATGAGAGATGACTTGGCTTATTCTCTAGTCTTCTCCATGTCCCCTAAATGCCCTACTGCTTAGGACAAGAAACCTAGGGGACATCTTTGATTCCTTCTCTTTCTTCACTCCACATTCAATTAAGCAAGTCTTTTTTAAAAAATATTTTTTAGTTGTAGTTGGACATAATACCTTTATTTTATTTATTTTTATGTGGTGCTAAGGATCAAACCCAGTACCTTGCACAAGCTAGACCGAGCGCTCTACTGCTGAGCCACAATCCCAGCCCTCAATTAAGCAAATCTTGAGTACTCTTCTGCCAAAGTATAACCTGGATCAAGCCACTTTTCTTTCTTTTCTTCTATTCACTAGCTCATATTAATAATATTACCTGATCATTGTAATAATTATTGCTATCTTGTGTCTCTGTGTTTCAGTCTGAAAATCCATCTTCTACACAGCAGACCAAGTGCAAAGGGCACAAGAATCGGGGTGCATCACTCCTCTACTTTAAGTCTTCCAATGCTATTCCCAGAACTTAGAATAAAATACAAGCTTTCATGGTCCTTCATTATTCCTGACCTTATGTTGGTTCCATTTCCTCCTGACTGTACTCCAAAATTTCCTCTCTTTTGTCTGTACTTTGATCATCCTGACCCTGTTTGCTCCTCGGGACATTTGCACTAGATCTTTCCAGTATCTGTGCTGTTATTTCCCAGATTTTCATATGCTCATCACTCAGACTTCATGTCAAAGGAATACTTCCCCAGAGATGCTTTTCTGACATGCCTGCCTTTATTATGTTACATTTTCTGACTCCATAGAAGTCCTCATGATAATACCAAACATTGGCCTAAAAAATTACCTATCAGTCAATCATTATCTGCCATCATTATTGACAAGGTTTTATGCTTAAAAGGCATTTGGTGCATACTCAGTTTTCTTAGGCTAAGACAGAACATGGGTGCCAAATACTAATAAGGAACATGTACTAAGATAAGGGGAGGCACAATGAAGGAAGTATGGGTCTCATAAGCACAGTAAAGAAGCCAATAAATACTTTGAATAATCATTTTTAAAGTGTCTTCTTGGCTGGGTTTAAAATGAGTCCACAGCATCAATTCACCTAGATTGAAGAACAAGGGAAGAGAATACCACTGACATGTATCACAGAGGAAGGATGAAGAGGCCTCGCTGAGGAAGAAATAGAAGACAAAGTCCACGGTTCTCTGATTCAAATGCAGGAACGAGGTCACACTGGGAGGTAAATGTGCTACTCACATCAATGAGGAAGTCAGAGAAACTGGAAAAAATAATTTTGCTTTTTAAGTTACTATTTCACATTAGGTCTGGCCCTGAAATTAAACATAGCCTATGGACAATAAGAGAGAAAACTAAAAGTGGAGTGAGATATCAAGAATGGCAATATAAAGTTAAGACTTATCCCTTATTTTAACCACCCAAGTTATTAAAATGACATATGCATTCAACACCTTTGTTATTGGACTCCTCCTGGGGCAGTGTGGATCGTGGAGAAAGAGATGAAGGTAGCCTCTTAGAGTCTGCAAGAATATTAGTACATTAACCAACCACCTGTATTCCATGGTGGGGTCAACAAATTCGGACTGGAGGTCAAATCCAGACTGTCATGTTCTTTTTCATGGATGGTAAACTAACAATTTAAAATTTTTTAAATGGTTGGAAAAATCAAGAGTCATGATATATCATAACACACAATAACTATGTAATATGCTTTTAAATTTTTATTGCAACATAGTCATGCCCTTTCATTAACTTGCTGAATATGGCTGCTTTGGGGCAGGCACATTAGCAGAATCTAGTTGAGACTTAGACTATGTGGTCCACAGAGCTTAAAATATCTATTCTCTGGCTCTTTACAGAAAAAGGTTTGTGTGCATGCTAAAAAAGACACGGGGAAGAAGGTTTATGGCTGAATCACAACTAAACTAGCAAGACAGAGGGAGCTAGAAGAATCAAATAAAAACTGGATGTGCATATGAAGAGCATGCCACCATCTGAGCTGAGGTTATAAAACCCAAAAAGGAGTTAGTGCGCAAAGCCTCTATGAAAGGACTGCTGTCAGTTTCTTAAAGAGGGGTATACCTTTCTCTCATATGTGGCTATGTGCCAAGGAGTAATGAGAAACTCAGGTCCTAATAAACATGGTACATCTTCTGGAAGGTGATTTCTTGGGAATGCTAGGGGAACCATTTTGCATTTAAAATGAAGACACTTCATTGAGTAGAATGCAAAATTTGCATGAATTTTTATAGTAAAATCAGAAGTTAAATAAACACACTCTGGTTATAATCCCAGAGTTATGAATTTGCTTTTTTGTCTTTAAGGATATATTCATCTAAAAGTTTAAAAATATACAACATGGAATGCTCCAAGGAGGGTTCCTAGATAAAGACAATTGTCATTCTTGAAGGCATTAACTTGAACCTGGGAAGCAAAAAGCTGTGACTCTCAATTCCAATCTGTTGGTGGTATTCCTTTGGAACCCCACTGTTGGAAAGTGTTCTGTGTTTTACTCAGAGGTTAAAAGCATATGATTAACAATGTCTGCTAGAGCGGAAGGTGGCAGCACGTGGCAGTTTGATTCGAATCTATGATTTGTCATAGATTCATATGGGAATCTTTCTAAACCTTTATTCAACATATTTTTTGGACTGCTCATCCTCTTAATCTGATTTAACATGTTTATTGTCTATTTTTAAAGCTGTATTTGCACTTATATTTCTACCGTCATGATTCCAAAAGTATCAGCTACGATACTGAGCATGTCAAAGTTTACCATTAAGGAACAACTGAAGATTTTACAAAAATAATCATTATAGTCCATTCAATTGTTAAAAGAGCATAGCATCCAATGTGGGAAAATTTAAAGACTAAGGAACAGGGAGGTATTTAGCAAAATAACAGCTGGACAGATAAGACAACTGGTAAAAACAAAGGTATAATTGGAGGAAGGTAAGCTAGGGATGAGAATAATATTTAGGAATAATAAAATAACCTAGAGAGACAGAGAACCAGGCCTAGGACAAAAGAAAAAAAATGGAAGAGATGGAAAGAAAGTAAAGAGATGTCTCTACGGTAGATTCATTAGAATTTAGCAATTGATCCTATACAGGGAACCACGGAAGTTAATGATAAATACAAGAGCGTTTGTTTAAGCAACAAAATAGATAAAAGATACTTTTAACTATGAAGGCTGGAAGAGGAGTAATTTTGGAGACAGGCCTTGGTGGTTCTGCTGATCATCTATTTGCTCTTAAGAGTTACCCTCTGCATCACAGAACATTGTGTTACCTTTGCCCACTGGTTTTTCAACAGGTTTGAACGACGGCAGACACTGAGGGAAAGGGAGACGTCCATATTTTTTCCCTCTCACTTTGGCTCAAACAATATTTCTCATAGTGACCAGATCATCTCTAGGACTTCAGCTCCTACCAGACAAGCTTTCTGTCCTTGGTTCCAGCTCCTGTCCCAGCTATCTATTTCTCTGTGGGGGGGCCTGGGCATCTGAGTTCTGGAAATTCTACCTTTTGGGTAACCCTTTTCACCCTAAGGGTGACAGAGGCTTCCTGTTGCTGCTACTCCCTAGGTTTCTTGACTCATGTATCACCTGCATAATCAATTTATGATGTTAAATTTCCTGTTTGAAATACTTAGATTGGTGCCCCGACTGTATCCCAACTACATGTAAAGAGTTCAGTTTATATATGTTGTTTACAACAAGGAGACAGAAATCAAGTAGATGTAAATAAATTCCCATGAGAATGTAAGTTTTAGCAAATAATAATTAGGCACCAATCAATAAATTTAAAGATACCAAAATTTTTATAAATATATTGTTGTTGGTAAGGATAAATATTTTTGAAAGAACAAAATGTCCAATGGACAAGATAACAGGTAATAACTTGTGTAGTACTTAAAATATACCACGCTGTGATGAGCACACGTTTTACATTTCACCAAATATATTCCTCAAAAGACAATTCTCATAGTTGTCCCTTGGTATCTGTGCAGCATTGGTTCCAGGAGTCCCTATGGATGATAAAAATCCAAAGATGCTTGTATCATATCAAATGGTGTATCTGCATAAAATGCATATCCTCCCATTTACTTTAAATTGTCTCTAGATTATTTGCAACTCCTGATATGAGTGCTACATAAATAGTTGTCATACTGTACTATTTAGGCAATGACAAGTGTACATGTTCAGTACAAAATTTTTTTCAAATATTCTTGATTCACAGTTGGTTGAGTACACTGATGTGGAATCGACATGAATGGCAATCTGACTACATATTTTAATCCTTAAAACAGCCCTACATGCACATAGTATTGTGATCTCCACAGATACCAAAACTGTCCTGGAGAGATTTATCCTAGTCTACTCCAGATTGTAACTCAAGCACTCTGGGTCTCAAATTGTCACTTTAAACTACTATAATTTATAGTGAAACATACCCTAGAAATAATACTAATAGATTTAAAAAATTTTTAAGGACCATTATTTGGAGAGAGGGCTGTAAAAATATTGCATTTTTTCCTAAATGTATTCCTAAAGTAAAAAATCCACAAAAATAAATTTTAAAGTTTTTAATGCACAAAAGAACAGAAACAGAACAGGCATCAACTTATTAACAATGAAGCACTATATAAAGGAGACCCCTCCCCACTTAGTAAATAGGAATATAGTGTAAATAGACATGAAAGGAGGTGAGCACTTTAGGATTAAATGCAAACCCTAAAGTTGTATACAACATTCATATATGGCTTATTATTATCTCATAGCAATATTTTCATAATGATGCATATGACATTTATACGTATCTGTAAGATGCTTTTGACTCAAACGTTAACAAAAATGAAGAGGTAGTTTTGCCAATGCAAGGTGAAAAAAGGGTTTTACCTTACTTTGGTTATTTCCTCAATAATCTACAACCATTTATTTAGTGTCCTAATTTTCTCCTGGATCACTCAGGAAGGTAATGATGTTTTAAAAGAAGCCAATTTTTAACTGATAACCTGTTGCCCTGAGTGGACAGTGATGTTTATGAAACAACTGCTCTGTAAGTCAACTGGGAAGTTTCTATCAAGTTCCTCTGTTTTGGATTTGAAATGGATTCTGGCTTACTGGAAACCTGTTTACATCTGACCAGCAGTTGTAGCAATTCAACCATTTTTCTCCTCAATTCTGTTCCTGGTTTCATGATACAAATTTAGAGAGGGCCAAGAATATTGGTAGGTGCCATTCAAAGTCAGGGATTGGGTTAACTTTTTTTTTAAGTCAGAAATAAACTACACTGTGAGTACTACAATTGCATATAGTGCTTCATAAAGCCATCACATAATAGACTCAGAGTTCTGGCTTCTGATGGCCAGATGTCACATGCTGCTTTTTTTGTGGGACACACGGACTGGGGAAGGTCTGCTGATACTGAAACTTTGACACCAGTCATTTGACTATGTACAAATTAGCTTATCCTATCTTTACAATGAGAAATAAGCCCAAACACACAAAAACAAGTTCCAAGAAGCAACAAAACATTTGTCAATTTGCAAAACTAAGTCATTTTACCAGACAATGGTTAGAAACCACTAGAAACAAAGTGACATCATATTAATCAGGTATGACTTATTACACACAAGAAAGCATAAATATACAGTAAATAGGACTTTGTATGTAGCCCCAGCAGAATATGTACACGTTAGCACGGCACTGAAACTGAACAGGAATTTCTGTTGCATATCCCCAGCTAAGAAGCAGCCTCATCACAGGACAGTTTGCAGGTCACAGATGCTTGAGAACACCATGTGGTAATGCTAAGCAAATATCCACGGACATTTATCCTTGAAAATGCACAATGTGAGAAATAAAGGTCACAAGTGAATAGCACTTCGCCTGCTGAGCATCTTCTTTCACATAAATAGGCACAAGCGCCTTCTCCAGTGGTGGTCAACAGCCTCACCTCCCGCATGTCCGCAGTGCCCGCATGCGCCCAGTCAATCACAGGTCATGCACTTATAACAGCTTCCACTGGTTAAGGTCAATGAGCTCCTGCCTTTGCAGGCTCCAGATTCAAATCAAAGCATAAATAACCCAGAGACCATGCTTGGGGCTCCTCCTTTCACAATGTTACTAAGAACACTGTACACCAGTGTGCAGGAGTGGAGAGTAGCTTTGTGCACCTTTGCAAAAACAACACCCCGCCCCCAGACACCATACACATCTTTTATTGGTTTGCTCTGTCTGTAGCTAGGAAGACACTGTGTTGCTCTTGAGCTCTTTCTATCAGCTTCCTCTTCTTCTTCTTGTTCCTCTTCTCCTTTGCCTTGGGTGTTCTCTTCCCTACAATGGGGGAAGGAGAATTAAAAAGGAGAGACGTCAGAAAAGGCCCTTTCTTTAGGAAAGAAAACACAAAACATTGTGAGTTTTGCACAAAGCCCATCTGGAAAACATCACCTATGGAAAAAGCAGCCTCAAAGAGAAAATTGTTCACATTAATTTTGACGGAATAATAATAATTTACTAAATTGGATATGCTGTCTAAAACAGAGACTGATCTTCCTGTTACAGGGAACTGGCATATTTAAAAACCTCCCAGCGGCCAGATCAGTCTTTCAAATATCATCCTGCCACAAAAATTCCATTTATCCCCTCCTACTTTTAACAATGCTACCCTTTACTAGACATCTTTACATCTTTCTACTGCTCCACATGTCAGTGGGTCGAAAGAAAATAAGCACCTATCTACAGTAAATATACCAGAAGTTTCAAACTACCCTCTCCCTGTCCCAGAGGAAGGGAGTCTTGCTGTTAACATTATTCCCTTTATGTTCTCCAAACACCAGTATGTGAAATGACATATGTGCCATGCTTTTTAACTTTCTATAACAATTCATGGGGACAGCATTATGTGTCTATGAGTTCTTTTCTAAACTCCTAGACAAGCTGTTCACGAACAAAAAGAACACTTGTTTATTCTGATATACTATTTTACTACCAGAAAAATCACACCAATTTATTCCTTTTTTCTTGTCTTAGCAACTAGGAAGCCCAGACCACAAACTAAATAGTTGGCTTTCCTCCACCAGGAGTTTTGGGGTACAGTTTTCCCTCTGCCATATTGTACATCTTATACTTTGTGGTTATGGTCTATAGTCTTAATGTAGAGGGTTTCAGTATTTCTTTGCATATATGTATGCATAAGATTGAAGGAAGAAAAAAAAATTAGGAGCACAAGACATTTGGTTTTGGTCCACTGCCCTCTGTAGGTTCTAACCACATAGGATCTGTGGGATTTATAGGAGAGAAAAGGGCTTTTAGAATCTCTGGTATTTTGCAGAAGGTAAGTCACTGCTGTACACCTTCAGCACAGAAAGATTCTTCAGTCAACTTGGAAAACATTCTACAGTTATTCTCCCTCTCCTACAGTCCCCACCTCTGTGGGATCTCTTAGTTCTATAAAGCTTGCTTTCTGTTCCTGTGGGGTGCAGCCATTAGATGCCACAGTAATCAGCACCACTGATGCACATCCAATTCTAATTGATACTCTTCAACCTCCCCACACCTACAAAACTCACTATCTTAGACCTTTTCATTGCAATCTAGGCAATAGAGACAGTGACTGATACCAAAAGAAACCAGAGTAGCCAAATATACGTTTTAGGAGACCAGAGCCATCCAAGATTTAGGGAGACCTGAGATTTCTAAATTAAGGGAGGCACTTCTCGTTTTCTGATTGGAAAGGATCTGTTTCTATGGAGGATGGAAAATGGTCACATTCAAGACCCTAGCACAGTGATTGGCACATGTCGATTTTCAATAGATGTTTGCTAGAAAAAAGATAAAAAGAATAACTTACTTTAATAGGACACTACATTAAAATAATGAGAACATGATCATGCCCTCATATTAAATTATAAAGGTCCTTGAAGTTAACTTCTGGTTCTCATTAAATTCTGGCATTAATGTTATAATGGCATTTTGCCATCTTTAAACATAGTTAATCCTACCCAATGAAACCTTAGTCCAAGCCATCATTAATCAAAGCAGCTGTAAAGTTACAACTATTTAGTAACATTATCTCTAATGATGAGACACACCTAATGAGGGCAGAGAGGAATACCTAACATAAAATAGGATATTTTAAAAGAATCTTCAATTATAAAGTTTTACAAAGTTTTCTCAGTAAATAAACTACAAAACTCCTTAAAGAAAAATCATTGTTGGCTACATTTAAAAAATTCATTTGGTTTATGCTTCGTTTATATAAAGCCTAGAGTTTCTTTTAAAAGCAAATCAAAATTAAGTGAATGGAAAAATAGGCTAACTAGATTCTTAAAGTGTTCTGCTAGAAGAAAACTATAATGAATGCTATTTAACAAAAGCATTTCATATTCACAATTTCAATTCTTCATGACTACATAGTTGAAAATTATATGTGCACTACTTTAATGGAAAATTTATACAAAATGACTGTAAGCTCTCCTTTGAGGTGGCCTATTTTGTGTCACCCAATTTATTGTTCTGATATAACTGTGAATATGCAATGGTTATTGGGTTTGTGAGCTGATATGATATTGTGTATCAGGGAAGTTACTCAATATTTACATAAGGTGGTTAGTATCTCTTCCAGAATTTCAGCAAAGCTTCTGAATACTTAGTCATATAAAATTTTTCAAATTGTACAATTATTTCTCTGACAATAGGTTATGTGATACCAATTCCAACTAATAATGTTTTCAGGCCCCTGATGACAATCCTAAAGATTTTTCTCAGAAACCTTTTTGAATGACATCTCTGCTAGTGTTTGGTTGGTTTTACTTCTGGCCAGTTCCATTTCACATGTAGAATATATTGCAAATACCAAAGATTTAAGATGGTTAGCCAAGATGTGACCACAGACAGGCTTAAATTAACTGAAAATATTTTTTGGTCCATAATAGTTTGTTCTGACTTTAAACTCAACTCAATGTAATAAAAAATATTAAAACATAAGGTATAGAAAGGATTTACATACGTTTTCTTCTGAACTCAAATTTATTATGTTTTTGAAAATCTATCATGAAGATCAATGCCAACAAAAATATATAATGAAAATAAGTTGTATTGGGCTTGCAAGTATGCTAATTTCTATTTCTTCTTCATTTCTTTTCATCTGTGGATATGACACTTGGAGGATGACTTCTAGACTTCGGATTTTCACACATTCTCAAGATATTTGTGCTACACAGGAAGGATTTTAAGTATAATATACCAGTCACCCAAATGGAAATTTAGCTCTTCTTATTCTCAAGTTTATGAAAGAAGATTTAGAATAAATACTGCCCTATTAGATACCCACCACACCAAATTTTATTTTATGAACCGATTGTCAGCCTCCAGCATATTCACTCTAGTGACAAATTCTGCACAGTTTTTGTGAGTGCTTTGGGAATGTAGTGGCTTCCGCAGATCATTACAGAGTGACTCTCTTCAAGATCTGGCAGAATGGGGTCTACAGAACAGATCTTTTAAGCTCTGTTATTTGGACACAAGAATGACAACTGATTTAAATATTGCCACGTTTAGGGAATTCAGTGTGATTTAATGGGGAAAGGCAACCTCCGGGGAAGAAGCTTTCTAACTGAGAAAAGTCATGTAACTGAGTTGTCTGGTAAGGATTTCTATTCGTGATGCTTGGTTTCTTCATTTGTAAAATAAAAAAAAACAATTATTATGTTTCACTAGCTAGGTATGGGACATTATGGGACAAAGTCGTTTTCCAGAAATGAGATGAAACATGTAAAACATCACATCAAGACAAGATTATCAAAGCCACAGTCTAACCAACATGATCACACTGACTTGTACACATGTGGAAGTGTTCCAAGGGAATAGCTCATCAACTCAGCTGTGGCAAGAAATGAACAACCCCTTATGGAAATACTCCCAACATCTAGCTGTGGATTGCTGCCATTAGAATCAGAAACAGGGGACACTGTTCTGCACCAATGTATAAGGTAGACCCATGAATTATGTGAAACTATAAAAATACTGACTCGACTGCCAGTTAGACACCAAAATCATTCTTTCCCAAGTTCCCAAATTCAAGGAAGGTCTTCAAATGGTTTCCCCTTCACTAGGTTCCAGGTAAGAATCTATGCATCATTGGAGCAAAAGTTTTTGTGCTTTCATCAGTAAGGCACAGAGGTTGTGTAGGGTTTCCTATTAAATACTGTTTTTAGAAAGACTTTGTGAGGGTAAATGAGATGGAAAATAACTGAATAAAAAATTCAGTATAATTATAAAAAAGTATACAGGTTTACATACACACCATACTACCTCCATACATATACATACAAACAAGAGAAAGGTAAACCACATGACAAATGTATTGAACTATAATTAGGACTATGACAACAGTGATCATCTAAGACCAGGCTAACTGCTTAAATTTGGAGAAATTTTTGATGCTCTGGATATTACTGCCTTTATAATGTCACCTTGGACACTTAGTTCAGAGACTGAGGCATCCTTGTAAAGTTGCTTAAACTTGATGGAATGTGAAGCCTGTTTGTCCATCACTCTGGTGAATCTTGCTATACTTTACAGGATACTCTGGAGCAAAACAGAAAAGTTTGCTCCAGATCTTGAGTCTACGGTCTGAATTGTAGACAATGAATAGCAATTAGCCAATTTCTTTTTTCTCATATGGGCAATTTGAGTTTGCACAAGAATAAGTAGCAACAGAAATGTATTTATTTAAGAATGATGAATGATTCTCTGGAAAAATGCCAGGTGGTTCCTAAAATATTTTAAAAGCTCACAAAAATAAACAAAAGACCTAAATACAATTCATAAAAAGTAGCTAATAAATATAAACAACTCAAATTTCCAAATGAAATGAGATGTCAGTGCAAAGATTTTTAAAAGTAAAAATACCTAAAGCTGGTAAGAATGTGGCAAGACAGGCATTGGAATCGATTAAAAGAATATAAAATTGACAGTCTTTCTGCAAAGCCATCTGGCAATGTGTACCAAAGCACTAAAAAATATTCATAACTTCTGACTGAGATCTAGGAATCTATCCTAGGAAAATAATCTAAACTTGAACAAAGATTTATACATGGAGATGTTTAGTATAATACTGAAAAAACTGTAAATTACCTAAATGTCCAACTGCAATTTTTCATGACCTCTTCTTTTTATGATTACTGAAGCAATAAACTGTGCTTTCAACTATGAATTGGAGTATTGCATATTTTAAGGCCAGAGCAATTAAAATTTCTCTCCAATAGTACTACTGTTGCATGTCTCTAAAACTTTGCCTGTAATACAAATGCACTCAATGTGGTGTTTAGCAG